CCGCTTAGTAAAACTTATGCTGGATAAGTTGACTGTTCATTCCGCTGTGGTAACCCTGATGAATAAAGGGATTAAGCTGAAGAAGAAGAATGAATGAATGAATGAATGAATGAATGAATGAATGAATGAATGAATGAATGAATGAATGAACAAAGTGTTTTTTCTTTATTTAAAATATATTCAATTTTAGTGACAGAAACATTTTATTGACATTGAACAAAGAGTCGGCTGTTTACCAGGGATGCTATGACAACACAGTACAGCTAAAGCAAGAAGCAGGAACAAGTATGTACTGTTGGTGTGTTATTTGAGCTGGCTTTGCTTTTGCGGTGAGCATGTGCAGTTCATACATAGATATGTATATGGCTACATTAGCTGAATATCCACAGAGCAAAATATTGAGCTATTTTGAAATTTGGCCAGGAAGTGAATGCAGTGATACAGCTAGAGGGTGACTGAAAATGCTGGACTGCGTGACACGGCATAATCTTTATTTTAAGCTCATATCTTCAGCCATGTTTATCTTTTCACAAAAAAAAAAAAAACTAAAATCATTTTTGGACAATAAGTTTCCATTTTCAGAAAACTTTGGTTTCATACATCTCTGCAATGGCTCAAATAAAATGGCAAAGAAGCGAGACCATCAAGTGACTCCCAGAGTTCATCAAGATTCTTTGAATTCATCTTCAGTGCCTCGTTTTTCACCTTACACCAGACAAGCTCAATAATGTTCATGTCTGGTGAATGGGCTGGCCGATAGTGGAGCATCTTGACCTACTTTGCTTTCAGGAATTTTGATGTGGAGGTTGAAGTATGAGACGGAGCACTATCCTGCTGAAGAATTTTCCCTCTCCTGTGGTTTGTAATGTAATGGGTAGCACAAATGTCTCGATACCTCAGGCTGTTGATGTTACTGAGTGCAAATGGGGACTTAGGAGCACCATCCAGAATTGGTGATATATTAGTACAGTGTTTCCCAACCCTGTTCCTGAAAGCACACCAACAGTACACGTTCAACCTCTTCCTAATCCAACACACTGGAATCAACTCATTAGAGCATTGGAAGAGACTCCAATCCCTGAAATGAATATAACAGATAAGGGGGATATCATAAATATGTACTGTTGGTGTGCCTTCAGGAACAGGGTTGGGAAACACCGTATTAGTGTATATTGGTGATATATTAGTACAAAAATAAGCTTTCACGTCTTCGTTATTTCCTTTCCACATCATTCTGTTGCCCACACATCATTATTAACGACATTAACCAACAATTAACAGCTCACTATAGAAATCCAGTGTGTGAATCAGATTCACAGCATCAGCAGAAGTTAGTCATCCCACTCGTTTTCAGATTTTTAGCATGCTTCTTCAACTGATGAAACAGTCACTCATTAATGAGTCTTCTATTGTTTATGAGCAGTAATGAAAGCTATTGTTATTCCAGCCGGCTCTGCCTCTGAGTTTAGGGCTCATTCTGGTAATGATCTGGATGATGATGATGATGATGGTTGTTTTTAATTTAATTATTAGAGGGCAGCAAGAGAGATTAAAAAGAAGTTCTTGTTTCATATCACAAACACACACTGTAAGCAAAATATGTAAATCCTTCAGTTATGTGCGTTGTGTCAAACAGCAGCTGTTCAGGGAGCGACTGCTGTGAGACGAATGCTCAAGACCGACAAATGCGCTCCAACAAGTGTGTGTCGTCACCTGTTTGATGGTGACAGTTGCGAATTGTGCTGTTTTCGAAACTTGCTAGATCCCTCACTCTTTATTAGTCTATTTCTCTGTATTTATAGCTGCATCTATCCTGTATATGGCTGACGGTAGCTTTATTATTTTGATCTATGTGTGTGCGTCCTGACGGTTTTCAGAGGCGTTACTCAGCGATCATTTTTTAAATTTGATTTACAGCAGGCTGGGTTTGATTTCGATTCTGGACACAGAGGTTTCTAGATCTCAAAATGGCCACAAATTCTGTTTACGTTTTTTTGTGATGCTTCCTTTCCATCTGTCACTCAAACACGGGAAGGCTTAGAGGTTATGATGTGGCTTCGCTGTCATTTGCTGTCAGTTTGATGGATATGTGACATAGTTTGGGTGGAATGCAGGATGTCAGTCATTGTGTACCTGTTTGGCACCTCTATGTATCTTTGCGGGGATGTGATTTGGGGTCTGAATCAGATGAGACACCGAAGCAGATGGATATATTAAGATTGCATTTATTAGCATTCACAGCTGCTTAAAGGGAAAGTTTGATTGGTTTACTTTTTCTTTTTTTTGGTTTTGTTAAAGACAAAGGAAAAAAAAATACTGAAGAATAATGGAAAAGCTGCCATTGACTTCCAGAGTGGATGTTAAGGGCTTCTTTTTCCCAACATTATTCAGAATATCTTGTTTTGGGTTCAATTGAAGAAAGAAGTTCATTACAGAATCTTACATCTTGAGTGTGAGCAAATGGTGAGGAAATCAATATTTTTGAATAAACTACCCTTTTGACTTAAAATGGCTGAAAAGTTTTAAGGCCAAAGTCTACAATAAATGGAATTATTGTCAACCCAAAACAAAAAACTAACTTTCAGTAAAGAAAGAAAAACATCAGAGTGCGCACATCTAAAAATCTTAAAAGCAGGTGTTTGATCAAGCCAAAAACAGTAGAAAAAGTCGCCACACTGCCACTTTAACTCTCAAAAGACAATTCAGTAAATTGTCAGGGGGGGTGGGAGGTAACAAACTGTCTGTATAAACACACACACACATAGACACAAAACACCAAGAAAGTGATAGTGACGCACAGCATCATGCTGTCTCTCATTCACACACATACACACACACACACACACCAAACAAGAAACACACAGCATCACGCTGTCTCTCATTCATAGAAACACGCACACACCAAGCAAGCAAGACACAGCATCACACTCTCTCTCATTCATACACACACACCAACAAGCAACACACGGCATCACACTTTCTCTCATTCACACACATAAACACACACGCACACACACACACGCTCCCGTTGAAATTACAGCAGAGTTACCGACCGCTCCCGCACTTTATTCTATAAATTTATTCCCACACCATATGAAACATGGTCGGGTCCCGTGGCTCCCGCAGTGTAGCCGCAGGAATGCAGACCTCTATCCAGGAGTATCGCTGTAACAGCCGAGAGGGGAGGAAAAGTCACGCCAGCAGGTCAAATGGGCCACAGTGAAAGAGAGAGAGAAAGAGAAATGGAGTTTACTTTTATTCTCAGAGAAATAGGGGCTTCTGCTTTAAGTGTCAGTGAAAGACTGTCCAGCAAACACACACACAGTGAAATTGTGCACAGTTTCTGAGTTTACTTTCTAGTACTCGTGCTAGCCTCCCTCGCCATAGTAAGCTACAGTACAGTGATATAGCGCATATTAGATAAATGAAGTCAGTACATAATAACCGGCTACAATTATTACTGAACCAATACCGAATTGTGTGCGTCTGCATCGCTGTGCACAGTAGAAACAATTATTTTTGACTCCCCTATTATTTATCTATTCATTGGTTAATTAGGGCGGTCATTGTTTGCAAGTGTGATGTATGGAGCTTGAATATTCCTCTATTTATCTTTTGAGAGCTGAAGTTGAAGTGTGCAGATTTTGTTTCTACAACCTCCAGTAAAGACCTAGCAGACACACAACATTATTAGGTTAGATTTAGGTTGCCAGTGTCTAAGGACAATGTTGTTTTGATGTCCAAAAATGACATGAAATGACATTGATATTTTGTTGATTTTAGGTTGTGTTGAAAAGTGACCAAAACATAGAGTCAACATTTTAAACCATCGTCATGTTGATGTCAAATACTAACATTTATTTGTCAGGTATGGCAACCAAAATCCATCTGATAGACATTATATTGGTATGTCAAGCTGTACAATCTTTAGACGTTGATAATTTGTTGTTTTTAGGTTGCGTTGGAAAGTAACCAAAATTCACTGTCTGTCCAACACTGAATATTTACAGCGGCCTGACGTTCGTTTCTGACATCAACATTTTCAAACAAAATTGGGGTACAACATCAATCTGACGTCATGTTGATGTCCTGTGCCTGCTGGGAAGTCATCAGTATTTCCTACTTTCCTACTCCGACAATCTTTTGTGCAATGAGTATCTATGGGTTGGATTGGCTGCCTGCAAATGATGTCTACTTTGACCATCAAACATTGTAGATGTACTGTAGTCTGGAAGAGTTTGATTTGTACTGTCAAACAGTCAAGTTGACGCTGTTTTAGTGCTGAAAAAGCAAATTAACTTTAAATGCTTTTGAGTTGATGAGATAAAACCATCAAACCACTAAATAATGTATATACATATGAATCCCCCAAAGTTGAAAATCAGAAATAGTAATGAGGGGTTTTGGTTTCTGACACACGCTGTAAGCTATATAGCAATTACAGCAGACTATTATTACATTACCATTATATTTACTATAAATTTTAAGCTTTATATAACTAAAATGGCGAATGTTTTAGTGTAGTTCTATTCAAATATATTCAATATATTCATTATCCTATACCTGGTTCACACTGAAAGCTAAATTAAGTATTTATTAAGTATTTACACAAGTAGATTACATACAAAGTCAATGCAAATGCAAAAATAGATGCACATTTACATCAGGTGGGGTGAATGTCAAGCAAAGTGCTGCACATTTACTACAATTATGTGGAATTTGCCTCAATCACATCAACCATCCAAGTTCAAATAATTCAACTCAAGCCAACAAATTGATAAAGGTGATAAAAATCCCGCGATTAATCAAAAGTTACTCCACTTTTGGTGTACAGAAGTTGTACTCTTCACTAAATGTGTTTCCATTATAATCACATTTTCCCCATCTTCTCCTTCCATTCGAGCTATTTCCCCATAGATCCCTCATAGTTTGTGTAACTGAATATCCATTGTAATCATAAACGGTGTAATCTTATGAATGGCACTGGTTCTCATCTCCAGGTCTGGACGACTGTTTGCAGCAGTACATAAAGAACTTTGAGCGGGAGAAGGTTGGAGGAGACCAGCTGTTGAGGATCACCCATCAGGAACTGGAGGATCTGGGAGTTTCTCGCATCGGCCATCAGGAGCTCATCCTGGAGGCTGTGGATCTGCTGTGTGCTCTGGTGAGAGTCTTTATGCTAATGATCCTAAATCTGTCGTTCAATACTGAGTCCCCTGTTAACAGAGATCACTCTGAGAAAAGCTGTGTCACATTTTAAGAAGACTTTAAACATTTCTTTGAAGGACAGTGAACAAAAGCATGATGCTGAGCTGAAAGTTACTCTGTTTGGTTTTAAAAAAATTGTTTATGGTCTTATTTTAGAGAATATGTCATAAAAGTTACAAAATCGAACAATGTAAAATTAATTCATTTTAATTTCACACTGTAAAAATACTGGGTTCCACACAATTCCTTCATGTTGTCCCAACACAAATCGATTAAAATAACTTTTTTTTTTCTTACAAATTTAAGTGGATTAAACATAAAACAAGTTGTCCCCCCAAAAAACTTAAGAATTGTGTTGGTTCAACCTATATTAAATACAGAGTTTGATCAAGCAATAAAAGTATTTTTTTTTAGTCCAAGTAACTTTTTAAATAAGACAATATTATATTCCTTAAATATTACAAAAGTGTGTTTTTTTATTTATTTGCCAGTAAGTTTAACGGGTCATATTTTGGAGATTGTTTCAAAATGTATCAAATTCGAATTAGCGAAAAAAAAAAAAACATTATATATGGATATATTTCTAAAAGGAATGATTTAAAAAAAACAATTACATAGAAAAAGAATATCACATTCTGAAAATACTACACATTTTATTTATTTATTTATTTAATGATTTAGTTAGTTAGTTAGTTAGTTAGTTAGTTAGTTAGTTAGTTAGTTAGTTAGTTAGATAGTTAGTTAGTTAGTTAGTTAGTTAACTAGTTAGTTACATTTATAATTGCCAGTAAACAACAGAATAATAAAAATGTATTCAATAAATCGTATGTGAGGAATATATAAAAAAGTAACTTAAAGTTTAAACTTAAAGTTTTATTCAACTTTTATTCAACCAGCAAGTTATTTTTGGGACCGGAAATGACACGGGCTTCTCACAAAAGATAATGAGACAATGTTCAAGAGGTATCATTGTGGAAAAAAAAATATTTCTCAGCTTTTATTTACATTTGAACAAAAACTTTAAGTCAGAATCTGCCAGCGGTATGAATAATTTTGTGCTTGACTGTATATACAAACAAACACAGTGCCTTTACTTAGAAAAACCATCACATTCTGAAAAGATTGCAAATGTTTTTGGGAGGCATTTTTTGCTTGCAAGTGAAGGACAATGTCATTTAACTTGACTTTTTTTATTATATTAAACAAATAAAATCATATTAATAATTTTTATTATAAACTTAAAGAATAACCAATTACTTTTTTTTAGCAAATTACAAATGTTAGTTGATATATTAAACTAAAAACATGAAATAGAAAATGACTATAATTGGCGCAGTGGGTAGCATGTTCGCCTCACAGCAAGAAGGTCGCTGGGTCGCTGGTTCAAACCTCGGCTCAGTTGGTGTTTCTGTGTGGAGTTTGCATGTTCTCCCTGCCTTTGTGTGGGTTTCCTCCGGGTGCTCCGGTTTCCCCCACAGTCAAAGACATGTGGGACAGGTGAATTGGGTGGGCTAAATTGTCTGTAGTGTGTGAATGTGTGTGGATGTTTCCAAGAGATGGGTTGCGGCTGGAAGGGCATCTGCTGCGTAAAAACTTGCTGGATAAGTTGGTGGTTCATTCTGCTGTGGCGACCCCGGATTAATAAAAGGACTAAGCCGACAAGAAAATGGATGAATGAATATAATTGATTATTGAATGGTTCTATTTTAGACCCAAAAAAACTACATATAAGGTAACACTTTACTTTGATGGCCCATTTGAGTAGACTGTCTGCTTGATATCTGTTGGTACTGCTCCTTCAACAGACATTTAACTTACTATAAGAAACTGTGCAGGTACATTTCAACTTACACTAACCTCAACCTAACAGTCTACTTATAATCTAATGAGAATTAGTTGGCATGTAGATGCAATATAACTTAAATTCAACCAACAGACCATCAAAATAAAGTGACCAAATATAAATGTGTTAAAAAATAAATATTAAATTTATGTATGTAATATATATTTAAATGTTCTTTTAATGTTTTTTTTTTAATTCATTTACCTTAAAAAAACACTTTTTAGAGGGGAAATGGGTAACTAATGTCATTGCACTTTCACCTAAATGTCAAAGATTTAAGAGTTTTTTTATATGATTTATTCTCAGAGGAAAGATTTGCACAGATTTGTTCTGAAAATATCACTCAATCAGTATTTAAATGAGGCGTTTTGCTCCGTAGGTTTGTTCCTGTGGCTTTAATCTGTATCTGCTCTGCATGTGTGTGTGTGTGTCTTGACTAATTTTTATTGCTGTGTGACATTCGACAGCTTGAAAATGATTTTCAAAAAGGTACCAGGAGTACAGACAGTGTGGGAGATGAGGAAAGGATTTAAGCTGAAATTTGCTCTGCACCGCTTGAGCCTTTTACATTATCTAGCATTTAATAACTAGCTTTCCATCTAATTCTCTCTCTCTCTCCTGCTCGAATCTCTCAGTCGAGGTATTAAAACAATGACTTACCAGCCCACGCTTTCTGAATGTCAGCAACATGACGACAGGATGATGTTTATCGCATTTATCACAAGTCTCTCCTCAAGCTTTATCCTTTTTGTCCTTTTTATGTTTTTGCTCTTTCTGCGGAAATAGGCCAATTTCTTTCTGGCTCGTCCTGAGATTGAATTTCAGCGTATAGTTCCCAGGTGTCAAACATACACAAAGCCATCTTATCCGGCCTGAGGGAGGATTCGAACAATAATATGAAATAATCATGAATGAAACATTGTTCGAAAGTTAAATAAAGTTTATTTGCTACAGTGTTTTATCTATGATGCAGTACACATCTATAAGATGGAAAAATTAAAGGCGCTTGGATTTGGCAATATTATATCTTCTATAATGTCTACTGTTAATTAATTGTGTTAATTGTGTTAATTGTAATTTGTATGAAAGTAACACAAGGTACAGTCCATCCTGTGAAACGCAGATCATATGATCGCAATTACTCGAACGGCCTCAAACTTGTTAACAAAGAAGCTGCTGTCAATTTGGGAGGAGATCTGCCATCAAGACCAAGTTGGGAATAGTTTGAGAAGACAGCGCGATTGGATGAACCATTATCTAGAGCAGGGATGGCCAACCCTGTTCCTGGAGAGCCACCTTCCTGCAGATTTTAGTTGCTACCCATATCAAACACACCTGAACCAATTAATTAGGACCTGAACACAATGTGGTAATTACAGGCAGGTGTGTTTGATATGGGTTGCAACTGAAATTTGCAGGAAGGTGGCTCTCCAGGAACAGGGTTGGCCATCCCTGATCTAGAGGATGATGTTGTATAACATAAACAGCCGTAAAGGAAGTTGGTGTCAAGATCTTGTTCCATTCAAGTGTGGATGCGCATTAGTTTGGGGCAGCTGAAAAAATGGAGATGCAGATTCAAACATTTAGAAACAAAACTTAAGAGACAAATGTTGTTTAATTTTATTGGTTACGCCAAATATGATATTTATTCGTAAGCTTGCCGAACAGTTTTGGAGAGTTTGATGTTTCCCCATTCAAACAGAATGCCTAAGCATACTACCTGAGAGGCTTTTCAAAGATGGCCACTGAGTGAAATGACTTGCCTTAAAGGGACTTTAATTACATAAACAGGAGTGCAGTGCATTTATCAGTGTAATTGCAAACAGTTGGATTTTATTTTTTTTTAAAAAGGAACATTTTTAAAGACATGTTATCTTTTTCTTCATCAAAAATAATTTCAAGTTGAAAGATGTGCTCCTCAGTGTAACACTACTTTGTTTCATTTATGAATAACTCAGTTGAGTCAATCAGTGAATGATTTATTTGAGTAAGTGATTCTGTGAGTTTTGTTATGTCATTTACTTCAATTTTATATGAATCGGCAAACTTGAATTTGTTTGAATGATAAGAGTCAATGAATCATTGATTAAAGCCAGTTGTAAATGTTTACAACTATAGGTATTATATACAACAATAATTAGGTATTGTTGTTTACAGGGTGGGTAATGATGGGTTTCTGCTTGGAATTATAAGGTTCTGGCAGATCATTCATCGAAGCATTACTTTTCAATAAATACAATCAGCATGCTTATTAATTTAATAATAATAATAAAAAAACTGGTGTTATAACAACATGTTGATGCTTGAGAAAGTTACATTTTTGCTTTCTATTGCATTTATTTAATGTTTTAGGATGAATATTTGTTTTGTTTAATTAAAAAATACAAGGCTGTGCTAAATATTTTGTCCAGTGCAGATGTTAGTTTTATGTAATGAATATGGCAATCTTTATTGAATTAAATGCTTTATATGAATTATTGAATTATATGCCCCATGAATTAAATTAAGTATTTACCCATAAAGGCATAATATTACGTTTAATGACTTTTAAAGAAAACAGACAATGAGAAAATGAGTTTTTTAACAAAGTTTAATAAACCTTAAAAATGTTTCACTGCTTTTTTTATAGCCAAATAAAAATATAATTTACATTTAATATATAATTTCTTTTTACTTTTTCTTTTTTAACAATGTAAAATTTAACATTTCATCTCAATGTAAAAAAAATGCTTCTAAATCATCACATTTACACATATTTTTACAGCTTTAGGTTTCTTCTCAATTTTGAGAAAAAACAATTTTGTGTTTCCATCTGGTCTTTTTGGTCGATGGAGCAGTCTGGCGGAATGCCAAAGAAAGCTCACCCTGATTGGTTTTCGTGCGTGCATTTGAAATGCTGATTGGCTCACAGAAAGGACCATATAGAGCCAAGTTACAGTTCCACTTTGTAGATAAAACCTTTTTTGTTTTTAAATAAAAAGTCTTAAAATCTAAACAACTTATAAAAAAGCAACACATGTAAATAAGTTGTCAATTAATATGAATGTGAAAAAGAACTGTTTTTAATTTTTCTTGTAATTATGTTAGGGTTAGTGTAGTTAATAATAAATTAA